ATATCTTCCCTGATAAAAGGTATCCTGAAAGAAGGGCTGGGCAATATGTTTCATATTTTTGTGGTAATTTACTTTGGGGTTGGGGGTGAAAATGTCATTGTTTTTAGGAATGTCCTTTTCCTCCACTTGAGTATGTTTAAAAACAAATGAACATATGATTAAATGAGTTAGAATTTAATATACTCTGAAGATAAATCACCTCTGGATGTTTTGAGTGAGGAGAAAAATTTTCCATTTTAATCTTCTTAAATTTATTTCTATTTTTTACCACCTTCCCCTGAGGCTGTTTACTCTGCACGTATTAGAGGGAAGGATAATGAAGCATTTTAAACAGTCAGGATCCATACTTGTCTCCTTAGAAGGGAGCTTCTTTTTCTGGCTGATACTTTTTTTTGAATCCTGCTTTCCGACTAAGGTAGTGTTCGCCAGCAGGAAGGAGTTAAAGGATATCCAAATAACTCAGAAGCTATCTGTCAGGGCTAATCTTGAGGAAGAAACAGTAAGAGGCTTCAGAAAGAGGGAGGTGGTGGCAGCATTTATTTTTCTTCTCTGTAATTATCAATTCAGAATGACTGGGCCTGAGCCATTAATAAATATGAGTGGTTTATTGGGTGGTATAATCCAAACCTATGCAAGAGAAGACAGAGGTATTTCAGAAAGACCAGCTTGTGCATCTCAAACAGGAGCTCTCAAACTCCGTGTGTCCATGACAGGACAGGGTGGCAGTCTGTGGTTGGCCTTTGATGCATAGCTAAATAGTCCTGAAAATAATTTAAAAAATGGTAGATGAGGGAGACAAGGCTCTTTCTGATACCTCTTGTACTCTTTCCATGCCTAAGGTGCTTGCCCACACAGGAAAGGTCTGGTTAGAGTAGATATAACAGGAATCTGTTCTCAAAATATAAAGTGGCTATAGAATGGCAAACTGATTTGATACTGATGCTAAATTTCTACTCAATCATAAGCCAGGTTTTACATGTATTCTCCACGCTATACAAGGCTGGCTGTTATTTTTTCTCTTTCTTGTCTCGTCTTGTTGTAGTATGAAATAGCTTCTCGTTACATAACTTGAGTGTCCTAAGTCTGCCACATTTATTGTTTGCTGACATACATTCAGATTTTGACTAAGAAATTGGTAACTTAGCTTCAGTTTATATTACTGTCTTTGACCAATTTGCAGACTTATACATGATACCATGGATTCACGAGTCAGCCTTTACTGTAAGAGTATAATGACTCAGTTTGGGCTTGGGAGCCAGAAAGCTAAATATAGGACATAGAATTAAAGCCTGGTACAGCTGGGAAAAAAAAAAAGTCCATTTTGGGACTTATGAAAGGTCAGTTTGGCACAGAGGTGCCTGGAGTGCAGAAACACTTGTCCTGACCACTAATTTCACTCTCTTCTCATTTGAGAAGTAGCACTGTGGAGCTGGTGGGGACAGAAAAAAGCACAGGAAGGTAGGACGGAGAGAGGAAGAGATGGAAGAAATGGACACTGAAAAGGAACTGATTCTCAAGTCTCTTAGCAGGTTATTCCAGGCACTAGTGCAGGATGTGGGCTAGAAAATATCCAGTCCTGTGGGAAAGTAGTGCTGTAGCCCTGCAAATATCTGGGGTACTAGCCCTGAGCTATGCACCAGCTTTCCCTGGCTCATCTTAGTAGGAGAGCAGAGACCTCCCACTGTCCCCATCTTTGTCTCTGTGGAGTTACTACCCGCCAGCAGCTTTTAGTTATGGAGTGCCTCTACAGTACTGATGTAAGGCAGTCTCCTCCACATGATAAACATCTTCTCATCGTAAGAAGCACTGGGGCTGGGGCAGCCTGTTTCACAATCTTCAGGAGCGTGGCTCACTGGGACCAACTGGTTGGTGGTACCTTGCCTTCCTGAAAAATGCTCCAACAAAGCTGTTGGAGGAGTTCAGCATGCTGGAGGGGAGCATCCTGAAGTGATGCTGTTCCATATAAAAAAAAAGTCACAGCATGTAAAACTGCCCCCATTGCAAGACAGGGTCCCATGCTGAAACAATAAAATAGCATATGGTTCTAGCCATATGTATTCCATTTTTATGATCAGTTTGTGACCTCTTCACTATTTTTCATAGGTATTTGTAGGTAAATTGTGGATGTCTCAGCCCCATTAACTCAACTGAAACTGTTGAATAAAAATGTTTCTGAAAATATTTTTCAAAATTGCAGCACTCTTTCAAACAGAAGAGTTAAAACATGAAATAGCTATTGTTTTCCTGCTATTGGCTGTGTTTTTCAGCTTAGAACAGGCAGCTGGCAAGAGCAAATCTTTCATGTGTGAAAGGGCAAGTCCCCCCCACTCCATCTCTGTCAGTGACTGCCACTGGCTGCTAGTTGTGTAGCACCAGCAGAGCCAGGACAAGGTATTACAGTGTCTGCTTCAACTAAGTCCTGCTGAAGACTGTTAGGGCATGATACAGTCCAACTGCTGTGGGACAGGAAAGCCATTTCACTTCATCCTTTTAGGGTGGATGAAGGAATGGGGGCGGGTATGGCAACCCACACTTCGATTTTTTATTGGTACTAGGGTGCCTCTGGGAGAAAAGACATTTACTTCATTGGCCCCAACTCTGAAACAGCAGCAAGACTTTTTGCAAGGCCCCATGACAGGGCTCAGAGGGGAAACAGCAGACAAAAAAGTCCTTTGGATTACATGTGGAAGTGCTGACACACTTCCAAAGAGAAGATGCTACATACATGAGCAATCTAGGCTATTGATAACAACACTGACTAACAATTGGGTCTATATTCTGAATAATGACAACAGCTCCCTTTCAGAGTTTTATTTAAACTTCCTTTCTAGGTAAATAACTCCTTCTCCTGATCAAAGTTTCTGGAATATTAGCAGATGTACAATGAGAGACATAGTTCACTTACACTTGAACTGGAGCCATGGCATACTCTTACTAGGAAATTACCATCTTGTTGAGTGTGTACAAACTCAGCATACTCTGTGCAAATTCTTTATTGAAACAATGATCAATTTACAAGCTGGATCACATTTCATTTTGCCACTTCAGCATGAACTGGTCTCTTTGTGGTTTACGGCTGTGAACTATAAAATCATAACAGTTATTTAAATCAAAATACAGTAATTGCTTCCCAAAAGAACACATTCATATTTGTCTTTCTTACATTTCTTGTAAAATCAAAAAGGATTTCATAATAAATGAAATATAAGTTAAGATACTTTAGTGCAAGCATTTCCTTTGCATCTAAGAAGCTTTCAGTTGTCCCACTAAGTATGGCATTCTTAAGAGGCCAACTCTTAAAATAGCATGCTGCCAAGATATTCCATGAGAACTTTTAAAATTTGACACTGTTAACACTTTCCAGAATTAGTTGATCTGAACCAAATTGAACATCAGAAAGCCCTGGTTATAAGTTACAGTACTTTTGTCAAAGGGTAACTGTAAATCAAGGAACTGACATAGTATGTACATTAGAATAAAACAGGCACTGATTTTAAAAAAAACAACATCTGCCTGTATATGCCATTCTGCAAGTCTTATGATTATACAGTAATTTTTAAGCACAGGAGTGAACTGCTGTGCCTTTCCTAATACCAATAAACCTGAATCAAAATGCTGATCTATGGGTGCTTCTAAAGTTTTTTAAATGACAATCTCAAAATATGACTGAAGGGTAGGTTTCATCACAGGCATATTCAAATCAGAGAGCAAAAAAGGATCATCAGTAAACCAATGCTACTCAGAAAGAAAATGTTGAGTAAGTAGATAGTGAGTACTATGTTCAACTGGTCTGATTAATATGCTCTTACATTTAGTGAAAAAAGAACAGTAAGTGTGAAATTCAAATCCAACAGTGATTTCTTGTGCTGCAGAAATCTAGTCATGTTTCATGAAGTTTTGGCAAAAATATTTTAAAATCATGTAAATATATCCTGCAAATCTCTCTTCCTTTCTAAGCCTGGCTTGGTGTTTCTTATGCTTTTAGAACACAAATACAGTTGGACTGGATTTTCTACACTCTGAGTGTTTTAAGAACCATTAGTGTTTGGAGATATAATAAATAGAACAATGTAACAAAAGATGTGCATAGTCCAATGAAGGGAGCAAATCACTCTAATGTCCCTGAAGTGCTTAAGGTGCATGAAAATACACAACAGTGCAAATGTTAATGTTTTCTTAGAGCCATCATTAATTTTATACTTGTTGATTATGTCCTTGCACCATAAAATAGCCATTCCCTAAGAAATACTGCCAAACAGAATTGTTTACTTTATAACAGCACAGCCAGAAAGTTTGGAACAGGAAAGAAGGGTTTGGGTCTTACTTCCCATCTATCTCCCACAAAGGAAGTGCCTCAAAGCACGTAAAAAGCTTTAGGCTTACAGGTGTTATATAATGGATGCATAAAGATACTGAGCAGCATACATGAAAACAGAAAAAAACCCCATAAATCAGAACCATTACAATCTGTATTTTCTTCAGATACAGTGCTGTTTTGCTTTTATTCTGATAATACCACAAAGCTAAATGTCCAAAGAATTTATAGCAGACTGGCTGGACCAGTCCTACCTGTGAACTCTCAGCTGTGAGTGAGTCCAGCTCCAGCAAAGTCAAAGTTCCCTTTGACCTTGCAACAGCAGGAATTCAGCACTACACCTATTAACATGCATCTAATCCAAATAGCTGTCGCTCATACGTGGTTTGCAATGTATGTTTGTGTGTACTTCAAATACATGCTCTTTGTGGGCAACCTTTGGAAAAAAACATAATCTGTATCTTCAAGGAAGTTTACACAGAGATACTGAAGAAAACCATGGGGATTATTTGCTCTCGAATGTTTCTCAATAAATAAATAATAAACAGGCTGGAGGCCAGTCTGAGGGCAGCAGTCAGGATCAGAACTGCCTGGTACCAAACACCACATGAATACATGAAGGGGTCTGGTCTCTACTCTAAAAAGTTCATAATTAAAAAACAAAGTTAAAATACTGTAGTTTAATAAATAATTTTGAAACTCCTTTTTTCTTTTTTTTAAAGTGTAATTTAGAAGTTATTTTTATGCTTTCAAGGAGAACATCCTTGCTCATCTGTGTAATCTTAGCTGGGCACCAGGCAGGTAATTTTAGAATGCATGAGCATTGTTTGTAAATGCTGGACAGGCAGAAAAATCAAGATCCCCCTCTTTTCAGGAGGTTAAGGTGAATTAAAAGAATTTAGTGCAAGTTCCTGCTTTTGTTTCTGCCCTTGTCCTTTTTCACACCAGAAGCAAATTAAGTAACTTGAAAAACTGATGTGAACACTAAACAGAAATGTACTTAAGACTCAGACAGGAAGTTAACAGTTTACATCAGTAGTATTTTCAATCGCACTGGTCAGAAGTGAGGTTCTTTATGGTATTCTCTTAATCTACCCTGTGTTCTAGATTTATATTGCTTTGCTGGAACTAAAATATTTCCAGCCACATTCCTAAAGGGACTTTGCCCTTGCATGTTTCCTTTAGAGCATGTGCAAATGCATTTTATATAGATGCCTGCCACTGTGGTGAACACAAACAAATATTAGGCAACTAAATGCTGTCATTTTCACAAGTTGGTCGTAAAATCTGAAGTCCATTATTAAACATGTATTTTTTTTAATAACCATAGAAAGGATACGGAGCCTTCTCTGCATCACCTCCATAAGTCATGGGGTGTTCCTGTATTACACTGCTAGGGAAGCTCTGCACTTTAACATGAGGAAGTTGATATAAGACCTCAGTTCATTATCAAGCTTTTTTTTAGATAGCTGCAACATTGACTTTGTTTGGCCTCAATTACCTGTGCAGTTAATATACCTGATTGCCTCCAATGGACACCTTATGTAGATGTGGCTACGTCAATAAAATGTCCAGAGAGCCATCCACACATCTTCTCCCCATAGACCTAAGTGACTTCTTTTTCTGCAATATACTTGATTCCAGATTTATTTTGAGTATCTATACTTACATTCCGTATTAAAAACTGCAAGGTGATAGGTTGTTCATTAGTTCCAAATTAAATGTGTGTCAGGTAACTAAGTAATATGCTATTAATCCTACACAAATTCCTCCTTGTAAGTGCTTTCTTTCCAGCCTCACTCCGGAGAAGGTCCATTTTATTGTCTGTCTGCAATAGAAATTATCACTTCCCTTCCACCCCTGGCATTTCCTGGCATAAATGTTGATCCTTTTTAATGCCACAGTCACTGTGATCATTAAAGCTTTACTGGGGTAGAGTCACATGTACTCAAGCAGTGAACATCCTACATAGGTAGGAGGTTCTTAAAATACCAAAGCAATTATAACACAGTAAATAGTTTGTGTGATCGTCATTGTAATTTCACAGGACACTTGATTATAATTTTTTTTTTTTTTTTTAGTTTGGATGAAACACTCTCAGCCTTATGCTTATACATGAATTTAGGATTGATCTTCAGAATATGAATCTGCACAAAATTGAGAATCCCAATAAAAGGCTCTTGTGCCATTTCAGCCTTGTCATCAGCTGATTACGGGCATTTGCAGGACTGTTAAGGAACCTGTGTATCTTCTGGTAAAGTAGTGCATACTTACTCCTACCAAATTACTACAAAACAAGACATCTTGCATATTTGCTGCTGTTTTCCATATAAACTTCTGGCAAAGTAAAAAATGGTCAAATATATTCAAAAAACCTCTGCAGGGCTGTTGGACTGGAACTTTCTGTAAGATGTTTATGGGGTTTCCCATCTGCAAAATACACCTCAAAGTTGTTTCTTGATGTGAAAAAAACAATTATTGGCATCTTCATTCCATGGAAAAGGGAAAGCTATTTCCCATGTGCCTAAGCAGTGTGGTCTCAAATGAAATGGAAACATTTTAACTTTCTTTAATAGCCCTCTAAATCACAATGCAGCTGAGCAAACAGGCTTTGTAAATGGGATCTATTAGGATTTTATTTGGCTACTAGAGTGCTGCCTCTTGGGCAATATTTCAAATTCACAAGATAATATTTGCAAAAATGCAATAGATGGAAATAACGAGGGTGAAGGAGGAAAATGAAAACCAGTTTTATGTTTAGTAAGTTCAAGTGTCCTACATCAAAGACTACCAATGACTTCCAGGAGGCCACTACGGGTGGCTCCAACCTAGAAATTGCTGAGGTAAATGTTTCTTGGAAATACTCCTAATCAAAAAGAGCAATTAATATTAATGTAATAGCAATTACTCTGCCATACATCATGGTAAACTAAAGTCAAACTGAGAAGAAAGTGCCAAATAATCCACATACATGCTTTTGCTATGATAGTCTCCAGGTAAGGCTTAGCGGCAAGTACAATATGTATATTTAAAAGAGCTCCACCTGATTTTCCTGCTATGCATAGATTCAGTAGTAACTATCATACATGGCTTTCATATATAATGCATGTATTTTTGTCATTTGCCAATGCTGTGTCATCAGAACTGAGTTCAGCAGAAGGCTCAGGAGGGGGCTCTGCAGGAAGTGCTGGTGTTTGAGGAGTGTCTTCTTCCTTGGTGTCCAACTGCATGCTTTCTTGTGACTGACCGTCCATGCAGTCCTTTTTGGACAATGGGTGAACTGACACTTTTATTGCAATCTGTTGAGGTGGCTCGTGCAGTGACGATGCGTCAGAGTCAGCTGTGGGAGAGTCACTACGCTTCAAAGCATTCGGAATCATATACAGCTCATCTGTATCAGTGGTTTCCTGGCCTTCTGCTGTCTGCCGTACGAAATTCTGTCCTTGCTCCTCCAGACCGACAACCTCCATAATTTCTTCCATTATAGTCCTGCAGTTCATGATGAGAGGTGGCAAAGGTACACTTCGAGCAAGCTCTTCAATATAGCGAGCAAATTCCATGGTCTTGAACTGGGTTACTTTGGCAAGCTCGAGTGTTTTGGCTGAAGTGATAATTGGGATACGCTTTGCAATCTCAAAGGCTTTCTGGAGTTTCTCTGCCCCTTCTGTTCTGAAGAATTCATTGATTGCTTTCTCTGTTTTCTTCAGATGACTGCTCATCATACATAACCGAGTAATGTTCAGTATCATAACAATGGTAAAAGCTACAAGGCAGACAATCATGTAATAGATTCCCATATCACCGGAGGTAAAAACAACCCTCAGTGTCACAGTATTGTTAACACTGCCATATGTATTAGATGCGACACACGTGTATTTACCTCTGTCTTCAAAAGACACGCTGGTAATGTTTAGTAGCCCATTGTCAAGAAACCACCATTTTCCTGCTGGAGAGGAGACAGAGTAACTAGTTAGAAGTATTTTGTTCACATGATCAGCATAGTCTTAAAAATCAGCTTTGTCAAACTGGCTTCAGATTTTGGAAGAAGGAAATAATGTTCAGCAGAAGACAAAGAATTTACCATCACAAAGGCCCGTCTGTCCCTAAGATCCTAGCTGTGTTACTATCAAATCCCTGACATCAACTGTGAATAATCAGATCATGCCCTAAAAGAATCTCATAAAAAAATGTTAATATGCATGACATCTATCACAATCTTATGGTCAGCTGAGTTACAAAGGTAGGACTACTTACTCCAGAAAGCCTCCCAAACACATGCCACACTTCCTCAAAGAACAGTAACAATGGGATTGTGAGACAGAAAAACCTACTAAGTCCTCCCTAGTTTTGTTCCCTGACAATGCATTTTCTTACAGTTGGGGTTATTTTTGGTGTTTTGTTACAGTATCTCATATAATTCTGTTAATGTAAACTTTAAAACCCCTAAAATTTCAGACATCATATATTAAACTGCCTGGCCTCTGAGGTGTTCAGAATCTAATTTTGAAGTATGAGTCTTAAAAAAGGGAGATAGGACAGGAGGAGTAAGATGGATGGGAAAGAGAAGAGCTGTGACCAAGTAAGAGAACATCTTTTTTGCCAGTATGAACTCCTACGCACCATGATGGAACTTCTTTTACTTTTAAAAGTCATTTCTATCAGTGTAATATAATTAACATCTTTGGTCACTACATGTAATTGTACATGTACATTTCATATCCTTTGAACCTGGCACAGCAGAGCAATTTAGCTATTAAACTGAGTCTGAAACAACATGTTAAAATCCAGTGCTCCTATCACTGCTAAAGTGATTCAAGATTCAGCTGGTTACTGTGTTTGCCATTATATATTGGTAACGAATTAGATTTTTAGTTCCCCAAGTGAGCTTTGTTTTTATTCAAATATCACTACTATTTAAGAACTAAGGATATGTATTTTTTACTTTATTCAGTGTGATATGACTTAGTAAATTGCAACTTTGTTATAAAAACCATGATTCGACTCCAATAGGAAAGCCCGGTGTCAATCCTTTCCTTCATGTAAACCCACCCCTGGAAGTGTTGACATGGTGGAGGGAACAGCCAGAAACTGTAGGAGTGCCTCTGTGCCTTCTGAACACTTCATACAGGGAGATGTCACACAGAAGATTTTCTTTGAAAACAGTGACATAGGCTGATGTAAGCCAACAAGATCATCTAATACATACTGCTTCTCAGAGGCGGACTCAACTGTTTTCAATCAATGTAACACAATCCCAAGCCATTTCTGACAGGTATCTGCTGAAGGCAGTAATGGAATTTCAATAACCTTCCACAGGAAGTAATTTCAGGTGTTCACCTATCTTTACTATCAGAATATTGTTTTTCCTTAAACCTAACCTAACCAGCTGCAATTTAAGCCTATTAAGGTAGCTGAGCAAAGACACAGAATCTGTAATTAGAGGACTAAACCACCGCAAAACCCCCATGCAATGCATGTGAATCACAAGGCAAGGATTGCAGTCCTGCCACAGGTTGGTATATACCTTGCTTCTGCATTTATTTTATCTTTTTCACGGAAGTTCTTTCATTGTTAAAAAGATTATTCTATTTTTTTACTTTATTTCTTTCAAGGAAGGATCTGTGGACAATTCTGAAACTCATTAGGCAAAAAAAGCCTTTAATTCAGAGTAGTTATGGGCTTTTACCATTTTGAAAGTTTTTCTAATTAAACATGGCTTATCCAAATTGTTTTTTTACATTATCTCCAGTAGAAGCCTATGTAGAAAGTATTCCCACAAGACCCCTGCCTCAGTTCCTGTACAGACAGTTCTTAATTACATCTTTTTATCCTCTTACTTAGAATTTTTAACTTAGCTGAAACACTATTTTTTGCCCTAGCTTAATTCTTGAAAACAGCTGAATCACTTTGCCTGAAATTAAAAAATATAGAATAAATAAAAAGCTCAGTCTAAAGCAGACCTTCCCATAAAAAAAAATCACCTCAATCTGCTAAAGTTAGGCAAATTCAGAGGAAAACTCTCTTACAGAGGAAATGTCAGCATCTGTAACAGATGACACTTCTTTCTCCACTTCTAGAATAAGAAAAAAATACAGAGTATTGGCTGCTCCGTATTTCTTTGAATTGCAATGTTGGCAAAGTGGGTCTTTATTAATTGTAACATGACAAGTCGCCTTGCTGATGTGTCCTGGCTCCAGCTATTATAAATGACATAATGGCATTGAACTGTGATTCAATGACCGGGTCTGTGCCAGTGGAACCTGGCAGATAGTATAAGCCTAATGAGAAAACAATGATAAGAAAAGGTATCATTGCTAGGTTTTGATTAACAATTCAAGGCCATAATCAACATAACTGTATACATACTAAAGAAAGGTCTTGTGCTAGGAAACATTTCTTACACGAAGACAGTCAGTTTCTTGAAGGAGGAAGTGCACTGTGGAAAGTCTAAGTTAAAGTGATGTTGTCTTAATACTACATCTGCAATTTTTACTGGTTTGGTCAAAGTTTTTGCTCATCTACCTAAATATTCACGTTAGTGGCTACCTCTCTCAGTTGACTATACAAAGACCTAAAGTTAGATGCCTAACTAAAGGGGAAAATTTCTGTTAGTGAGCCTTAGTAAAACACTCTAGCACACTAATCACAGTATGTTGTCATGACTGCACAAATTATATCTGAAAGTCTGCTAACTAGCTCAAGTAGTTTCTTTCTCTAGCTTTACTTGGAAAATGACAAAATACTGTAATGTAAAATATAACCAGTTATGCAGTAAGCTTTTACAGATACACTATGCTGTTGCACATCCAGCTGGGTCAATCATTACTCCCGTCATAGCAGAGTTGTCCATCTGGTCAGCTATTAGTTAGCAAGCTATCTTGCATTTAGTATGAATAACTAAGACTTTATTTCATCATGCTGTGAACAAAGCAGTCAGTATGGAAGGATTACATGAGCAAACCACCCTTCACCCCCCCCTGAAATGTTCCCTAGAAGTATAACTAGGATTATCACCCAACCCTTCCGTTTAAGGAAAACAAGCTCATGTGTAATTAAGGTCTCTGGCAAATGCAACTGAAGAGTCTTAACTAAAGCCAGGAAGGCTCAAACTTGGCTTGTCCTTCTGACTGCTGCCCTATATAGGTTTTTCTGTTGGTCATTCAGGGCATCTCCTGTTTCTCACACTCCCATGGCACTATGCATAAAGGCAGCAGATATATCAGGGAGTTAGCTGTGTTGAATTCATGCCAACAAACTATTCGCATATGTCAAGAGAATCCTCCCTTGAGTTGGAAAATAGCTTTTTAGTCTTTTTTGGTGCCAAAGGACAGAATGGGAAATAGGATCAAACTCGGTCTTCCAATGAAAAGAAGCCTGTCTACACCTTCTGTTAAGTGCTTCAGCTTGCTACGTGTTGCTATAAATAACACATTAAAAAAACGTTACAGTTTTCTTCCAAGGTGCGTTCAACGAATTTATGACTGCCACCAGGTTTTCATATATTTTCACACAGGAAAATACCACCATCAGGCCATTAAATTCAGGTTATTACTCAACCTGCTGAAATCAGAAATGTCTCTGGACAGGCTACCTCAGTGAGAATACTAACATCTTACCTTTATTCTCCTCCTCTTGGAGAAGGTGGCCGTTGGAATTGTACCATCTGTAATGTGGACTAGGACTACCTTGGACATTGCAGTCGATCAAGGCACTACTCCCCTCCTTGACTATAACATGGTCGATGCGGGAGATCACCACAGGCACAGATCCCACGTTCATCTCAGTGTGGTTGAAAGTGCTGTTAGTCACATCCTTAGCAGTTGTCAAAGCTGCTAATAAGATGACAAGGCGTGTGGTAGGCAGAAAGTACAAAAAGTGGTGGCTGTTCAGTATGTTCATTTTCCTTCAGTAGTATACGCAACTGGCTGGGAACTGGGATCGGTTCTGTTGAACACAGGCCCTTGAGGTGAGGAAGTCACAGGAGAGTTCTACTTTGATCTGTGCAATTTTATGTTTAAAATATCCTATAAAATAAATAAATAAGTACAATGAGATGGCATGTATAAACAATCCATTAGATGTGCTCTTTTAAAATAGTGACACATCCATTAATGCATTTCACAATCATCAGCTCAGTGACTTGTCTAAATGCTAATGTTATCACAGTCCTTATTCTTACTGGAAAAAGATGCATACATTTTCCTGACAATAGTGTTGTTCAGAGTGGCAGGCGTGGGAGAAGGCTTTTATCACCTAGACACTTAGCAGCAATTTAGCTACAGCAGCAGCTACAGTTTTACGCCAAAAGTTCTACAGATTTTTCTTTCTTTTTTTTTTTTTCACATTTGCAAAATCAACAGGAAAAACAAAGGTACAGCATGTTAAAGCTGTCACTACCAGTTCAGTGCTGCAACTCTGTCACGTGTGTGGTCTTAGGTGAATTGTGGAACATGGTGTAAGAAAGAACTGCTCCAGGAAAGGTTTTTGGAGCTCATGTTGGAATCCTTAATATACACAATTTTGTCCAAATGCAATAGCACATACAGCAAAACATCTTAGACCATTCACTTTTCTTAAGCTACTGCATTTTTTTAAGTTTTCTGAGGTAAAACATAGCATGGAAGAATATTCTTAAAAGTACTTGATAAAGTAATTTCAATGTCATTTTTAGAGCAGATTTAGAAAGAAAAATACTTGCTAGTGACATAATTATGGGTAAAGTTTCTCTGAGATACAAATGGAGTTGGGACTTTTCCATTCCTTATGTGGCATTAAGCATTTTGCCTGTATACTTTTTGCACACTCTCACTACATTTTCCTTCAACTAATCATCTACAATGAGCCTTTTCTTAAACAGTGATTCCAGTTTGTAGACAGAGGAGGGGGGGGTTTACAAATGTGCTCTCTATTGGCCTCATTATGCTCCCAGTGAACACAACTGGCATTCCATACTGACTGAAGGGACAATGTTGGTCTCAAAATGAGCACCTCTGAAAATTTCACTCAGCGTGTAAGGGCCACAAATGATGTTAAAATCACGTAAGAGTATCTAACTACAGTGGGTTTACTCATGTGTTTTTGAGGTAAATAATTGAAACTTAGTGAAACTTATTAGTTAGAAGAACCTGGAATTCAAATACAGGTAACAATCTAACAGACTTTCCCCAAATGAACATTTCACTTGCAAAACTGTTTACATTTTATTAAAGATCTGGTTGACACCACGGTAACTCATCTACCTTAGCACGGAAAATGACTGCTGACAAGGTTAGGTCAGTTCCATATATAAAGGAAACGCTAAAACAAAACCAACCAACCAACGAATCCCCTTCCCTCTCTTCTTCTTTATTGAAAAAGTCTTTCACTGGTAATATTTGACTTAGGTTGTTTTCTTCTCCATCCCCTGTTCTCTGTAAAGCAATGAACTTGATTTCATACAAATAGATACAACTGTTATTAAAAGAGCAAAATAGTTTCCTCCATTTTGCAGTATGAATCATTACTTGAAATGACAAGCTATGGTACCTTAGGCAAGTTGCATGTATGGTGTGGATGCCTGTCACAACTCCAAGCCTGCCCTCATTTTTTCTCTGTTTTTCTAATTATTGCATGTGGAAATATTTGTCTTGAAGAGCCAGGATAATTTTAAACTTTAAATTAATATGCAAATTTAATTTGTCATATAAAGCTATATAAACAATGACTTCAGAAATCCCTTTCCAATTATGCAAAGTGTGTACAGCCTGTGCTTTTGAAGTTCTGTATAGGTACAGCCTGTCTGAATTTGCACTCTGGAAAAAGCCTTCAATTCTGCCTATTCACTTCAGTAACTATTTACATCTCATTTCTACTACTCCATTAACCTTGGAGACAGCCATTCTTTACGGTTACACATATTCATCCTATAAAATGTTTCTGTACAGTGCTATAGATCTGCACTGCACCATACAGAAAAGCCAAAAGACACGTCACACTTCCTGGCAAGGGAGCAGGAACAAAGGCTGGCTGGATTAAGACAATGGGAAGGGCAAAAGAACAACATAAATTGATAAAGCTTTGTGTTGCTAATTACTGGCCATGGCTTGTTATTATTGTATTTGAGCTTACCATATTTTTTGATGCAGAAAGATCAGTAGCAATCAAAAAAAGGTGTTTAGCGTGGAAAGTAATTTGCATTCCAGAAGGAAATGAAATAGCATCACCCCAACGGGTGAACAGAAAACCTGTAAGGAAGGACCTGCAGTGTATTGGGAAGCTCAAGGCAGTTGGTGGCCCACTGAATCCCTACAGCACAGGGATGTTGTGGATGGATGTTTGGAAAGCGTGTGATGGCAGTAACAATGTAAGGTGCGCCTATTCTGTATGTTTACCTGTGTTTAACGCAGAGCGTATGAAAGTAAAAAACGTACCTTTGTGTAGTGATAACAAATGTGACTGGTTCTTAACATGTCAAAGGGCCAATTACTTGTCTAAAAACAACAGCAGCTCCCTCACTCTGGCACAGAATTAAATCATAAATAACTGCAGTAAATTTTAAGAAATAGAGCCTAATAATTTATGTCTACTGTGGGAGATTCATACCTATTCATGTCACTCCTGGGAATGTACTTTCCCATGTATGTTCCTGGAATGAAGAATATTAAGAAAACACTAAATACCTCTGCAGATGAATTTCTGTTTGAAATAAATACAGTTTGATGGCAAGTATGAGGAATAACCAGGCAGTAGGTTTAAAGCAGAATGTTTGGAAATGGTGGCTGCTGCTTTCACATGCCATCCAGGGAAGTACTCTTGATGGACACTTGAGTATGTTTAAGGTGTCAGGGAGAGATGTCTCTGAAGAATGGTGTTTTAAGATGTAAGTTTAGACAAATGTTCCCAGGGCAACTAGGAAGTGATAGGGAATCTTTTCTTTGGTATGCACCTTCTGCGCTACTAGTGGGGAACAAAAAAATGGAAGAAACCAAAGAAGGTTTTCTCAGCCTCACCTAACACAAGAAACTTAAAAGGTGGCCATGCAGGGACCTACATGTCCAGCACCCTCTGCTAACTTTTTAGGCAGGACCAAAAATGCTAGAGTCAGGTTAGGAAAGCAGGAAGAAGCAGAGAGAGAGAACTGAAAGTGTAGAAAATGTGCTCACACCACTCTGGTGCAAAGGGAGGTTTCCTGAGAGTTTCTGTCCTGCTGCTTTGCCATAGGCACAACAGCAGCCTGAGAATATCAGGGAAAATAAATCTGGGATCCAGCTGCTTTGTTAAACACAAGTGATGTAATGTGTTATGATTCAATCACACAACTAATGGGGAGAAGGCTAAAGAGACCGAAAAAGGACTGCTAGTGATGTCTGCCCACTTCTGGCAAAGAACCAAGAGAATCCAGAATATTGGAGAAGTGGGTACAGTGCTGTTGCCCTGGCTCTTGGCCATGAGAGGCGGTAATTAGCTGTGGCCCATGATAAACCTGATGAAGGCAGCCAAAACTGTAACCTTTTAATCTGACCCGAAGTCAGACAAAGCTGGATTGACTAGACTAAAACAAAGATTCCTGTAATAACTCCTCACAACTGAGAGTAACACAGGACACTAATATAGGAGGACATCTGCAATTTTGAGTATCGCTCTGTAGGAACAGACTGAGCCTCTGGGAGCATTTTTTGCCACAAAAGGGTCACTATAAACAAAAAGTTAAATTTCTGGTCATGGGAAGAATGTAAGCGTTCCTTTCTCCCATCCCCAAAGCACGAGCTACCTGTAAAAGACTTATAAAAAGTAGAAGTTTATAATATATTTAATGTGGTTACATACACTTTTTTCTTTTTTCTTTTTTTTTTTTAAATTTTAAAACTGTGGTGCGTGAAAATGAAAAAGAACACCCCCAGCTATTCTGAGTTACCTTTTCCACTCAAAGTTGTAGTCAGGGACAGGCTTACCTCCCAAGATGGAATCAGATGAACCCCCAAACTCTCCTCCAGCATCTAGAACATATATATAGATAACTTGCCCTGCTGTATTGTATCTGTAGCAACATTTACCACTGAAAGACGGTTGCCAGTGGTCCTTATATTAAATAGGTTTGGTTTTTTTCTTCCCCAACCCAAATGGTATAAACTGAAAATCTGAAAGTAACAGATTTACTGCTCATGGGATTAACTTCCAAGGAAAATTGCACGAGACTTGAGCCACATGAGGGAACTACGACAGGCTTTTCTCCTAAGTGACACGATAGTGAGATCTAGCATGCTCTCTATGCATTTCTGTCCAGAGAAGTTCCCTGGAATGTGCTCCAGAACAAGCACAGCTGCAGGGTGGTGGTATTAATCCTAACTATGTGAAACAGGGACAAAAACTGAGGTTAAAACTTCCTTGTCCAAAATTAAGCATCAGTCTGAACAGAAGACACTTACAGCTCGGACTGGCTGGGAACATTAATCACTCAGAGACATGTTCTGATTGACCATTTATTTGTTCATGTCATAGATGAGTTTGCTTCCCAGTATTACTGCCACCAAAGAAAATGACTGTGGGTGAGGGGCCATGTTTATAAGTACTGCATTTGTGCAGAATAGCATGATGACAGAGCACAAAAGAACAGAAAAGGAGGGCAGTGATGCATACCTTTTCCTGGCTCGCTCACTTCTGTAAGACTGGCCTGTTCTTGTTCTTGGAATAATGTGTAATCCTATTAACTGTGAGGTTATTCAATTCAGAAGTGAAGCACAAGAAACCAGCTTATTGTATAATGCATAAATTATGTTCCTATAGCTTTAACATCCCAATGCTATCTTGCTTGGCTTGTAAGTGATCAAGAAAATGAAATGATTTTAATTCTAGTTCTCATTTGTCTATAAATAAGTATTAAGGATGATACTACAAAACAAAATTAAAGCTAATTCTTTATTATTTAAAAACTACTTACTACCTTTCCTAGTTTCCATGGGCAATGCCTTTACAGAGTGGGCAAAACTGAAAGTGAACAGGTTTTACTGGAACATGAATGCAAATAAAGGGACTTATGCCACA